TGGAGAGGTGAGCAAGGCCTTGGAACCATTCTAAGGTTTGGATTTGAGTGAGTTCTAGGCAGCCTAGGAATGTAAGTGTTCCTCGTGAGATAGAAATATAACCACTGTAAATGTGGACTGAGAAAGGGCATGACCCAGGAGGGTGGTCAGAGCCTCTCTCTGAGTTTTATGTATGTTATCTCCCTCATACCCCACTTTTTACCAGCAAGAGCCCAAGCCCCTCCTCTCTTATCTTGCAGGGGGTTATCTCACATCCTTCTCACAATTTACCTGGACAGCATCCCATGTCGGCAGGCATCCAGGGAGGAGTCAGCAGCTGGTAGAGCAGTGAGTAGGTACAAAAATGCTGCTGACCAAACTTTCAGGTAACTCTCATATCCTTGAGTGGACATGGGCCGATTCTTAGACTGTGAATACTGGAGGTCTTATGAAGCCATTTAATCCAATCCTGCAAGTGGGAAAATTGAGGCCCAGGATGGGGCAGACTGCTCAAACACCCATGGCATAGTCTGACTTGAATTCAGGCCTGTGGGCTCACAGACTGGTTTGTTCTCTACGCACCAGGCAGGCTGCTTTGTTTCTTTGGGGTTAGGGCAGAGAAGAAAATGCCCCCTGGATGATCCCTTCCTGAATTAGCAGCTCCCAGTGTATTCTCCTGGGAGAGTATGGCCAAGTGACTACCACCCAGTGTGGTGGGGCAGAAAGAACACAAGTGTGCCTGATAGACTTGGGCTCGGAGCTCGGCATTGCTATGCCCCCACTGTGTGACCTTGAGCAAGTTACTTACCTGTACAGTTTTGGGTTTTGGGAAATGGAGATTACCAAACCTCCCTGGAGAAGCCAGTGAGGGGAGGAAATGAGACAGTGCAAGGTAAGTGTCTGTGTGGCGTGGTGACCAGAAGAAAGTGCAGGCTCTCTTAGTAACTACTGCTTTTCTTCTACCCTTCCAGGGTTCTGTATCTGCTCCCAGGATGTGGCCCAGATGCCTGTCTCTGGTGGTGGAGGTTTTGGGATTATGTAGGTGCCCCATGGAGCTGAGCTAGCCAGGGGAGCACTTTTCAGGCAGGGATATACCTTGGTTTAATTGGACTTAAGGCAAATGCAGATTTTGACAGCTATCTTAGGTTTGGTATATAGCGCAAGAGCACATACTTTTGTAGTTATAAATAAAATAAAAACTAAAGCATGCTATACAATTATGCATGGGTAGCAGGAATTTTTTTTTTTTTTTTTTTTACTGTGAAAGGACTTTCCATCTGAAGTTAGAAAATATAAGCATCTCATCTTGCCATCTTGCCCCCCCCCGTCTTCCCCTATTTTTTTAAAAAAAAAATTTTTTTTTAATTTTTTTTTTTTTTTTTTTTTACTGTGCAAAAGGACTTTCCCATTCATAGCATGGCTCCTTGCAGACATCCACACCTCTTAGGACTATCACTCTGGAGTCAATCTTCCTAGCATGAATCACAGCGACCTTCCAGGAAAGGGCTTTCTGTTCTCCACTGTCTTGTCACCTCCAGCCTCCCTGCAAGGTTTCCTTGAGCTTTGTGCTGAGGCAGCAGAATCTTGACTTGAGAGCAACGCAGCCTTCATATTTCAGTGATGTGCCACAGATTATGTGCCGTCAAGAAAGAGAATCACTTTCCACTGTCATGGGGAGACCTGATTAATCCTACAACAAACATTGATCTAAAAAATGTCTAAATGTAGAAAGAAAAATGTGACATTTATGAGATGCAGTGTTTGAGCACCAGGGTCCACGGGGTAGAATGGAAATACACAGATGAGGGTTAGCCTTACCCATAGCTTCTATGATGGCGGACACTGAGTCTGTTTTGTTTGGTGCCTTACCCCCTCCCCCATTATGTCACTCCTTTCCCTCCTTGCCCTTCCCCCTCATGTCACTCATAGTAGCTGTCCAACAAATATTTACTGATTGAATAAACAAAACAAAGTCACAGTACAAAATACATGAAAAGCCAAAAAAGAAAATGAATCATTCATAATTCCCCCACTGTGGGTATTTGGGCTTATTTCCTTCAAGTCTTATTTCCTATGAATATGCTCTTTTATATACATGTAAACATAATGTATTATTAGATTTAGCTCTGGGATGTTTTTGTAGTTCTCTATTAATATGAATGAAATGATGAAATGAGATGATGCGGAAATTCTTTGAAGACTGTAAAATGTTTAACAAATATCTTGTTATTAGTTATAATAAGCAGAGAAATTCTGAAGTGAATGAGGCTGATTCGATGTGAATACCCTTCAAAGCAAATATCCACTCTGCCCTGGGAAGTTGTGAATAGGTTTCTCTTCTTCATTGTACTCTCCGTGGGGAGTCCCTGAGTCTCATACTGTCAAGAGAAACATTAGACTTAGGGTTCTTAGGAATCATCAGCTCCAATTTCCCACCCAGACCAGAAATTTCTTCATCACGGAGGGTGAGGAGGGGAGGGTAAGCACCTCTCCCAGCCTACTAAACAACATCAGTCTCCAAGAACTTTCTCTTCTCTAACCTTTGATAGTGGGATGATGTTATGCTTCAAGCTCCAAAGAGGGCTGTACATTCAACCTGTGCTGACAACAATATAGACCCCAAAGGAATATATCACCACAGCAGTGGTAGGCACATCCAACAAGCCACAAAGTCAGGTTTGTCTTCAATGATAAGCCAAAATTACCCTCTTGAGAATCCAAGAATTCCCAGGCACATCTATTGGTCTAACCTATGCTTGGTTCTTTGAAGTAATGTGGGTTTGTTCATACTGCACAAAGGAATGCTGACAGAGATCTCTCCTTGCTCACATTCCAGTCTCTTTACTGACTCTCCGCCTTGACCTCTGAAAGCTTGAACAAACACTGCCATAGTTTCCAGCGGTTCAAAGCTGTCAAAAGAATGTACCTTTCACTGCAGCTACACCTTGAGGATGGGGGCTTGTCTTCCAGGCACAGTAGGAGCATAGGTGCATAGGAGCATAAGAGCCCACCTTCTGTAACTACCTGGAGTAAACCCAGGTGGGTTTCACATGGACCACACCACACCCTTGCTATTTTTTGTTTGAA